TAACCACGTGAAATGAGGCCAAATGAGTGTGCTGCTTCGCCCCTTTTTCCGCGATAACCACCCCCGGGACACGTGTTGCAGTGGTACAGCCCGGATGTTTTTCACACTGCGAGGTACTGTGTGATGTTCTGACAGACGGAGCGTACCACTTCGGTTTTTTTTTTTGGGGAGCACGTTGTGTTTGTTTTTGAAAGCGGGGCTGCTGCTGCTCCCGTTACCCCGGGGACGCTTCTGTTTGTGTGTGGTTGTGTTTTTTTGGTGGATGTGCACGCTTGTTTGCCAAAGCCACGTTCATTATTAGTAGCCTGACGTGAATCCCAGAGAGGCAGAGCCAGAACCCACCCAGAGAGCTCGTACTGAAAGCAAAAGGTTGGAACCTTTCAACGGGGCAGGCGGTGAAGTTACATAAGTTTGTATATTTGGCCTGGTCAGCGTAGGCTCTCACATGAATGAAGAGGACGTTTATACAGTTTGTGTTCAGGCGAGACGCTGGCGTGGAGAAAGAAAAAAAAAAGGAAAAATTGTTGATGTAGACGTGAGTGAGTCAGAGCAGAGAGAGAGAGAGAGGGGCTCGGGGGGGGGGCTCACACAGCTGGGCCTACAGGCTGGATTGTGTGTCCCAGGTGTGAGCCTCAGACTGCTCCGCTTTGCACGATTCCTAACGTCGTAATGACAAAAACAGACAAGGTCATGACTGGGTCTGTGTTTGCATAGTGAAGTTTGAGCCCTTTAATATAAGATAAAAGTGTGTGTGGGAGCTGAATAATTCTTTTTATCTTATCGACTCTTCTGAGTCTGATCTGTTGATGTCAGCAAGTTGGCCAGAGTTTGTTTTGTCTGTTCATTGAGAATCCACAAACATCTCAGTAATCAGCCTGCTTGTCTCTATTTAATATCATGATACACTGAATGTCTTTGGGTCTACGACTGTTAGACTAAACATTTCAGTACTTGGCCTTGCGCTCTTGGAAGTTGTGTATTGTTTGCATTTAATTGGATGAAAGAATTGAGTTATTCTGCTCTTTTAGATATTAACATCATCCTATGGAGCGAGGGAGTTAATCCTCTGCAGAGACACCTTGTTGCATTTTTTTTAACCAGCTCAACTTTTGGGACATTTGAGCCCCAAAGAATTCATGACAAATGTTTTAATTTACTTATTGTTGCAGCTCAACATCAGATGAAGAAGACATGGATAAATAAATCAAACTTAATTAAGTCAAGTGCAAAAAATAAGGAAACAAATTAAGTGAATTTGACAAAACTTTCTTACAAAAATAGATCTTTTTAGAAGAAGTTTGAATCATACAGAGTGAGTCAGACTTGAAAAAGCTCCTTACAGGCTATACATTTGTGAAATACTGCAAAGAAGGCAAATCCATTAAAAGTCTTCATACTGTATGCAGGGTGTTATTTTACTGTCTGTTTACACCTCTGCCAGCCTGTGTTATTTATTTAAATTTGAGGTCAGGACCACAAACGCTTCCAAGCAGCACAACGCCTCGTTGGCTTATAACACATCACTTCCTGGAAGCTCATCTGTGGCAGAAGGGGCCTCTCCGCCTGCCCGCCTCACGCTGACAAACTGCGAACACATGTGTTTACAGTGTTTAGAGGAGGACCAATGGTGGGTGAAAAGTCACCGGATTGTGACTAAGTAATGTTTACACCATGAGATCAGACACATTGGTTTAATATTCAGTTTCACCTGCTGAGATTTTAACAGTGCTGCCAGTCTGAAGCAAACGATCTGCATGGTTAGCTGTTAGCATCCACAGCTAATACGATTTTTGTTTCTCATGACCCTTGAGTTCAGAATTAAAATATCACTCAGTCATCATGAAGTGTAATCTACCACAGCTGTGACTCACTCTTTAGAGTCAGAGAGGTGCTATAAAAGTGATCATGGTTTCAATTTCTGAGTGTTTACCTCCTCAAAAGCTCAGCAGCAATAAAACAAAAACCACAAGGATAGCTAATGTGTGAAAATGTGTCTGATGGCCCCCTCTTGGGTCCTTGTGGTCCCCCAGACTCACCGCAGTAGATGGATTTTTCCCACAAATGCAAAAAGTCTGAAGTCTGCAAATGCCCACATGCAGAGTGGTTTACTTATCGACTATCAGTGACTGATAGTTGTAGTTCATCATGTTAGCCCGTGTCTTTATCTTGATAGCAGTATAAGGGGTAAATGATTTTGTCACTTTTCCGATAAAATAAAAAAAGGAAGGCTTCCCCTGAAATCTTGGCTGTTGGCTGTTCACACATGTCTCTCACAGTGGGAGACTATCCCTGTTGTTTTTTCCATTTAAATCAACGCTCCCTGTAGTGCGACATATTCCTGACATCAACAAAAGAGAAGAGAAAAACATAATGAAGCAGCTTCATCACGAGAGCGGAGATTGCACTATGGTCGTGCAGCGGCTGCAGGATACAGACGTCATCACCTCCTCCTACTGGGGTTGAATTTTCCTGAATGTTTACTGCTGCTTTCTCACATCAGCTCACCTTTACTTTGAACATTGAAAATGTACTCGGAGACTGGTGGGAAACATTCAGAGTAACGTCAGGCTGTCTGCACACGCACAAATCTTTAGTGTTTAGAGTTTAAATGATTGAATGAATTTGTCTCTTAGCTGTTGTTGCCTTTTAGAAGTGCTGTATACATGAGTGTGTCAGTGTGGGTTAGTCTCTCTCACATCTCCTTCCGCCCACCAGCTGCAAATCATGCCATCAAAAAAAAAGTGGTTTTCAGAAGTTGCGCGTTGGTTTTGTGATTGGTGGATTCCGGATTCAGCAGCTGGTTGCAGAGATATCTGTTATGAGTAGAGGCAGCAGCATGCACACTAATGATAACAGGAATACATTTATTTGTATTTAAAGACCTGTATTCTTTTTATACTTCTTCTGTGTGCTGCTCGGTGTCTGTGAGGTGATTGAATCTCTGAGAAACACTGAGCAGGTAACCACAGCAGGGCTTTTTAAAACCACTTACACAAACAGGTTTCTGCTGAAGAGGCACGTACTACTCATCTTTTATTTAATCTAGATCACACAAGTAGCCTGCCTGTTTCCGACGGGCTAAGTAGACACTTATCATGTGAAAACCTTTCAAAGAAGAACTTGAGGATAAGGAACACGATAATGTTTTAAACATTAAGACTCAATGTCTGTGCTGATTTAAAAACGTGTCCCTTGTTTGTCACGGCCGTTGGAATCACAGTAATCAGTGGTTTAGTTTCCTCGTGGCTGCCTCTGCCAGCCCTGATCAAATTATTGGAATGAGCAGACACCTCATTGGGGCGACGTTAACCTCTCGGGGTCACAGTGGACCTTGTTGCAGCTAGCTGAGCCGGTGGCCGTGGCAGGGGTGAGTGTGAGGATGTAATTGTGCGTTGGGTGTTGCTGGCTAACGGCCCTGACAGACACAGTGTACTCTAGACAATAGCCAGGGAGGCCAGGCCCTCAGAGAGAGAGAGAGAGAGATAACGATGTTACTCGCAGAGAGAGTTTCTCATGGGAACTGGACGGGTAGCAAAGAGGAAGGCCATCGAGGTTTCAAGAAAACCACACGGTGAGCTTCCTGATTCCCACACTGAGGCGGTTATCTCTCTGATTAAGAAAGGCAGAATCTGGCTTTGACTGACAGTTATCTGCCACTTTCTAAAAACCCTCACTGTGTAGAAATATTTCATTGCTTTGTCCGAATATGCAAGTAGCTTTATATCCACTAAGGAATCACATTTGATCATCTGCTCATCTCTCTTCATTTGATTCTAGTGGATTTAATCCTGCAAACTTTGCTGTGGAATGAACTTCCAAACTCCATTGGATCTGCAGAGTCCCTCTGCACCTTTAAGAAAAAGCTAAAGACCCAGCTCTTTCATGAATACTTACTAACTTAATGATGATGGTCTCCATATTATTGATGATGATGATGGTAATGACGATGGTTTTTGTTTGATTACGACGACTTATAAGATGGTTTCTATACTGATTAGAGCTCTCAAGAACTGCCCTCAATGTTGTGCTTTGTCTCTGGTCACTTCCTGTCAGCACCTGTGTGTCCAATCAGACTCAAAGCTGATCGTTTGCTCTTACTTTAGCAAGAAGTTTCCCTGTTCTAGTCATCATACTTAGCTAATAAGATTTCTAACTTCGGCTAAGGTTTAGCTAACAGAGATCTGGGTATCTTCTTGTCATACTCTCCACTATGAAGGGAAAAGGTGAATTTCCTGAAATGTTATTCCTTTAAAACTTCAGACTTTGTCGATATGATGCTTCAGTGGCTGTTTAAAAAGGCTTTAGTGAATGACATGCTGGCGAATGTCTCTCTGCAACCTCAAATTAGCATGCAGAGTAGCATTAGCCCCCAGCTTTGCACCAGATGTCTTTCAAACCAATCTGAACTTGATGGGATTTTCTCCGCTTGCGCCCCGCTCCAGGGCACAGTTATCTAAAAAGGCCAGCGCAAGGCTGAGGGATAATGACTCCAAAACCACAGATTTTGGAGATTGGGAAAGCCCCAGAGTGTGCCACTTGTGTGTCTGAGCCAGGCGTTTAGGACTAATTGCCTCGGTAAATGCATCAATCTTTTCCCTCTTTCCTTAATTCATCCAGGGAAGGAGTTAACTGAGCATGAATACTCCTTTTCAGCTGCTTTGTACTCAAATAGAAACAAACTTTAACTGGTGGGAGCTGCCTCACACAATATCAGTCCTGTACTTTTATCTATGAGAGCTCCATAAACACAATAAGGGATTAACCGCTCGCTCAAGGGCACGTTATCGTGAGTTAATGATATGAAGGAAGCAAAACTCACTTCTATAAGCTCCCTGATTAACATGTTATATTGTGTTTATTTTAATTAGGACAAGAAGTCTACATACAGGTACATTTTGTCGAGTTTATTTGTCAAATCTTTTAACAAGAACTTCAAGAGACGTCAGGAGCCTCCCTCTTGTCAGATGTGTAACTATGCCTCCTCTTCTCTTTCCATTCAGAACCTGATGGCCAAAGCATTGTACGACAACGTGCCCGAGTCCCCCGAGGAGCTGGCCTTCCGCAAAGGGGACATCCTCACCGTCATCGAGCAGAACACAGGGGGCCTGGAGGGATGGTGGCTCTGCTCCCTGCACGGCCGCCAAGGCATCGCCCCCGGCAATCGCCTGAAGCTGCTGATCGGACCCATGTTTGAGGCTCAGTCGCCGGCCGCCGCCGCTTCCAACGCCGCCCAGTCCTCCCCTCAGAGCTCGGCCTATCAGCAGAAGGCGGGCTCGGGGTCTCAAGGGCTCTACCAGGTGCCTCCGTCCCTCCAGAGTCCACAGCAGCAGAGTCAGCAGAGCATCTACCAGGTTCCCCCCGCGCAAGACATCTACCAGGTCCCACCGAGGAGCACGCTAGCAGCTGAAAACACTCCGAGCAAGGTAAGTCAGACAGAGTGAAAGACCACAGGCTGCTACTGATGGCTATTGTCATTATCAGTGAATCTGCCAATTAGTTTTAAAATGAATCTTTTAATCCAATCATGCACCATGGAGAGCTGACAATTTCACTGATGAGCATTCCTTTAAGTAAAGAGGAAGGACTCATCAGTGAAGCCACCTGCAGAGTGATTATTCAGAAGAAATACCTGAGCTGTGTTTGCTCTTTATGTCACATTTTAAATGAAAAAAAAGAACAAGAAAATGCACTTCTCAAGTTGCCACAGTTCACAGAACTATATTCCATTTTACGTAAAATAAAGTAGAAGAAGCAAACCCTGATATGTGGAAGGCTTCAGCTATAGCTTATCATTTTCCTGTCTTAAAATAGTTATCTTCCATTCCATCTTATATCTTCCTTACTGTAATTTATTATATTTTTTGCCTTTTTTTTGGCCGTACTTTAAAGGCTTTATATGCATATATATATGTTTCCAGCGTGGTACAAAAAATACTATTGGTCTGATTAGTTATTGTCTTTATTGGCACACACTGCTTTATTCTTTATAACTCATCCATTTCGGGGATATTAAAGGCTTTATATGCAATTTTTTTTGATCCAGCAGATGTCGCCCTTGAGCACCAGCATGAAACCAAAACAACTCGCGGTGCATTGTTGTGTTAGCATGCTAATGCTAGCGATCTTTATTATGCTCGTATCTTCACACTGCATGTAAATTTACCTGAAATGAGCGTGATCTAGAAACACAGTTAAGCAGTGAGTACAGTATGTTATTCTTCTTTTCTCTAGTCCCTCAATTAAACAACTTTTATACGTGAGGGGAGGAGTCAGCCGGCCGTCCCGGCGATGTAAACAAACTGAAGATAGGACTCTGAAAACATCACAGACAGTGGGACTCGGGTGTTACACCCATTGTAGACAGTCATGACTCACAGAGTTATTTTCAGAGGATATATTTGATTTCTATTATATTTAAGTGTGAAAAATCTATAATCATATAAAGCCTTTAAGATGTCACTGCAATGGTTTACACAAGTTAAATCAATCAGATACAAAGAAAGAGAGGGAGATGAAAGCATACATAAATCAATATTAGAGAAAGGGTTAAGAAGGGGAAACAAATAGAGAGCTGTTTGTTTTCTGACCTGTGGAGACCTGTCTTTCAGATCAGAAGGGATTTACAACATTACCATCCCCTCTGGTGGGTGTGGTCATTAGATGTGATAGGACATGGCGTTTTTACACATTTACTCCGTGGCCTGCTTCTTCTGCCAGCCTGCCACGACTCTCCTCGTTGTTATATCACACACATACAGCGAAAAGCAGCTGAAAAAGAGATTGTGGGTCTGCAATGTGAAATGTGCACAGGGTGTGCCGGGCCTGGCGCTCACCACAGAGCAGGGTAGTGTTTTTGTGCAGCGCTCCCATTTAGCTTTTCTTGTATTTTGGCACCGTTGTGTGCAGCAGAGCCAGTCTGAGCCACAGAAGGGCAGTGAGCCTGGGAACAAACCTGTGGAAAAGCAAACAGCACAGAGCTGTTTTTTGGGGGTTTTGGTGGAGCCCAGCTGCCTCAAAGTAGGTTTTCTGCTGTACACAGGGTGGCTGGCAAACCCTGGCATGGTGCTTTACATTGTAGTTATAAATATAATCGCCCAGGCAGTGTGTCCATTACGTATAATATATGTGTATTTTTATTGGCTGGATGGTATATCATCGAGGACACATATAGCTCCTGTTATTGCACACGGAACAGTTTCCCTTGTACATTTATTCTGATGCAGAGGCAATTATTTGAACAAATTATCATCTCTGTCATATTTATATTGAACTCTGAGGAATAACTGGGATGAATGGTTTAGCTGCTGCTTCCCCCAGGTCACAGGTTCAATGACGGGTCACAACAGAGCGTTGGTAAAGGGCAGATAGATGGTAACATGATGACATGGGGTGATATGTAGACTAACTGTAGAAATGGAAAACAGATTAAAATGTCTAAATGAATAAATGTTGAGTTAACTGAGTCAAAGTACTGAAGAATAACTAGAATAATCACAGCAAGAGGAGATTTCACCAGTTTGGGATTCTCCAGTTTAAATTAAAATCCATAAAATTCTCAAGAATATTTATAAAACCAAAACATTGCAAAGTAAAACATGTCTGTGGACTATATGAATGTTAGTGTTAGTGGTTGTTTTGTATTGTTAGCTAACACTGGCATTATTAAACACAAGCTACTGTTACATATCTTTTAGCTAACATCAGCTGCAGCTAAGCATTTCTTTATGTTAGCTCATTATGCTAACATTACAGAGAGTGTTTGGATGTTACCTAATGTTGGCTAGCATTAGCTTCCTTTAAGCAAACATAAGCTACAATAACCAACTTGAAAAAGCAATCAGAGCACATAAGCTACCATAAGTGAATGAACATTAGCTTGTGTTAGCAAACAACAGCTGCTTACATCAAGCTAAAATAAGCTGACTTAAGAGGCATTTTCTTACGATTTAGATTATTTTGACTTCTAAAAGCATCAAGAGAAATGTTATAAGGTAACATTAGCTACCTTAACTTTAATCCCAGTCACTACTGGCAGCTTATGTTAGTACATTTAAGCTAGAAGTTTCTTTAAAACTGACATAACTGAGCTGGTTATTTATTTTTCATGTAGCGCTCATCGTGTGCTAGTGTTCAAATATATGCTATCACCTGTCCTTTCCCTGTTTGCCACATTAGCAGTTTTCTATATAAAACTTCCAAAGTCTTGGTGAAAATGATCCTGATGATTACAATGGGAAGTCATCGGCAGGGCTGTGCTTGAACAGGAAGGGATAATTTTCCCGTTTATTCAACCGTTAAAGTCTTTCCAACACCTCAGACATGATCATCCCTCCAGGAGACGGGGAGTAATTATATGCTGGATGAGCTTTTAATATCCTGCGGTGTTTTTTTTCTTCTCCTCAACAAATCGGCTCCTGCAATCATAGAAATGAGCTAAGGTGTGCATTTTTCCAGGTAAATAGGCAGCAGACGCCGAGGGCTTAGAGGACTTAATGTGATTCAGTTTGTGATAAAGTAAGCCATGGGCACGGGGAGCTCGGAGGAGAGACCTGTCAATCAAGCTGCACACGGCTCCGTCAAACAACACCTCTCTTTTCCACTAACAGGCCTCAAGGCTTAAAACCAGAAGATAACATGGAAAATTAAATGTGCTTCTCATGAGAGACCATTTTGTGCTGTAATCATGTTATTCAAGGATTGGATTCAGTTTTGGACGCTTAACTTTCCCACCAATCTGTGGCTATCAAAAGTGGCGCAATTATCCGCGGTTGTTCCTGTCCGTTCAATAGAAATAGAAAACGTGTTCACTGTGTGTTATACTTCTATGTGTGTGTATCAGAGTATTTCGGGAGTTCAGACAGGGGCTCTGTTGTGTGCCAGTGACGTCTGACCGTGTTACAAAACGTCTGTTCGGTTTCTGTGGCCACATTCATAACAGACAGAAAAAAATCTGATGTTAAGACTGCAAAAAAAAAAAAAAACGATTTCAGGGAAAAGTGGAAATAAGGCAGCTAATTTGGCCGTCCAGTTTTAGAAAGTAATCGTTCCTTTTGGCATGATTGTTGGGTCTGTGTTGAACCATTTGACCAAATAAACACTTTGAGCTTTCATTTAGCTTTTTGGTAAAAAGTCAAAGAAACAGAAACTTACCGTAACTAGACTTATTTTAGAAACATGTTTCCAGCGTGGTACAAAAAACACTATTGGTCTGATTAGTTATTGTCTTTATTGGCACACACTGCACACAGCTTTATTCTTTATAACTCATCCATTTCGGGGATATTAAAGGCTTTATATGCGATTTTTTTGATCCAGCAGATGTCGCCCTTGAGCACCATCATGAAACCAAAACAACTCCTTGTTTTGTTAGCATGCTAATGCTAGCAATCTTTATTATGCTCGTATCTTCACACTGCATGTAAATTTACCTGAAATGAGCGTGATCTAGAAACACAGTTAAGCAGTTAGTACAGTATGTTATTCTTCTTTTCTCTAGTCCCTCAATTAAACAACTTTTATACACGAGGGGGAGGAGTCAGCCGGCCGTCCTGGCGATGTAAACAAACTGAAGATAGGACTCTGAAAACTCTGAAAACATCACAGACAGTGAGACTCGGGTGTTACACCCATTGTAGACAGTCAAGACTCACAGAGTTATTTTCAGAGGATATACTTGATTTCTATTACATTTAAGTGTGAAAAATCACATACAAAGCTTTTAAGTAAAGGACAGAATTATGCCAGTATGTGTGCATCAGCTGGAGATTCATTTGTGTGTGTGCATCCACAGATTGCCTCTCAGAGTGTCCTGCATGATGATGAAGATGAGCATGATGAAGAACAAATAAATTCACATAAAGGTCAATAATCATCCAGTTTATCACAATATTATGATTGTGGCTTCTTCTCTGCAGCAAAAATAAAAACAAATCCAATATTCTGAGGTATACTTTTAACCAAACTGATGATGGAGTTACTGAGTTAAACTGACAGCCATTGTATATATAAACCCGTACCAGATATCGAATTATCCAGGGGACACAACCAGCAAACCAGCAGCTGATTCCACTTTGAAACTCTATCACCCCGAGTGCACCTCATCACAGTATTTTTAGAGATTATTTTTGTTTTCCTGAAATCCAAAGCCTGACCTTTGCCCTTAAAAACTCTTGTTTACTGCAGCTCGTCTCTGTGGAGCAGATATAAATGACAGGCTGCGAGTGTTGACTCATGCCGCATGTGCTAAGAGCTGATGGAGCTGAACGGGAAAACAGACATTTCCTTTTCTTAAAGTGCAACACGGACGCACACACAGTCGCTTCCCCAAATGATTATTAGGACTGATGCAGGCTTTCTAGTCTGATAATCCCATCTCGTATTACCCCAAAGCCTCCCTGAGAGAAAGGTTCCTGCGTGAGCTTCA